CTCCAAAGAATAAGTTTTAGTACCTCACATGCCTTAGCTACTCTCACAAACCTTGTCTTGTGATTTCTGATCAATGAGAGAGTTTTTTTGGCCAAGCCAGTGTGGTTTCCACAGCTTCCACGGCTTCCATGGCTCTGTGTTCTGAAGCGATTTTTCCTTTGCTAACCTAATAGAACCTAATAGTTTTAAAACGTTGCTCTCCTTCAAGTTGGTTAGGACTTGCTGAGCTGAGCAATCCTGAGGAACAACTTGGAGGGTGCAAAGAACTGGCAGCAATCGCAGGAGAGAAAAGAGGGAGAYTGCACACAGGCTTCCTGTGAAGCTGGAACTGTTAGTCCTCTGTCCTCTGAGGTGATAAYGGCATCTCCTCATATTAGGCAACAAAGACCTTATTCAAAGCGCTTAGAAGTCACTGTGAAGCTTTGGCAGACTCCCTGAAATGTCACACTGCAAAGGAGCATGTGGCCCAGCTTCTGTGCAGGAAGGCAGACTGGGTATGCGCTGACCGGGCTGTCTGGAGGGTGACAACATCCAAGGGGTCTCGTGCTGCCCTAGGGCTCCCGGGGAYGTGCATGCAGGATGTGTGCAGGAGGTGGAACGTGGCAGAGGAAGGGCTCCGAACTCTCTGCTCCGCACCCCGGCAGGACAAGGCTGAAAGACAGACTGGTCCTCAACATGAAGAAGGAATTYGGAATTTATGTTTTATTTAGATACCTGGCAGCTCTGCATGTTTCTTATCCATAAGCCCCATTTCCATCTGTGGGAAAATAATCTCCGGACTTGATGATTTCAGTTTCACTTAACTTCCCTTCTCCTTCCACCCATTGGGAGGCTTCCTTCCACCCAGCCTTCCTTCTCTGTCTGCTACTTCTGCACACAGGCCRATTCCTGGCCTCCCTAAGCCAGCTCTCGTACTCTTGAAGGAGTAGTTCTAGTTCCCTCCTGCAGAAGGCAGCTGTATCCATCCCTTTGTTATTGTACTGCATATACCCCTCTCCGCCTTCCTTCTGCTCCTCCTCCACTTTCAAGATATTTTTCAGCAACTTTTGTGTAGTAACCTTGAAAATATTTAATGAACTAATCACTGACTTCACTGCATTATCTGTTCTAGAGGYATTTTTAGTTTGTGATGCTTGAATTAGCATCGTTCTAGTTTCCCTTTTTCTAACTGCAAGATTCCCCGATGACAGCCCAATGCATTTTGCAAAGCTAAAAGTTAAAGATGAAGAGCTACTGCCAGAAAGTTTAGTCTACGTTACTTCTTTCCTAATCAAAATCACAGAATCACACAGAATGGCTGAGCTTGGAAGGGACTTCTAAACATCATCCAGTCCAGCCCCGCTGCTCAACCCAGAACCCCTGGAGCACACGGCATAGGATCACATSCAGGCGCGTTGTGAGTATCTCCAAGGAAGGTGACTCCACAGCCTCTCTGGGCAGCCTGTTCCAGGGCTCTGCTACTCTAACAGCAAAGAGCTTCTCCCTCATATGGAGACGAAACTTCCTGTGTTTCAGCTTATTCCTAAATCTCTCTGCAGAGCCGCTTTCCAGCAGGTCAACCCCCAGTCTGTCCTGGTGCCTGGGATTATCTCTCTCAGGTTGCCTCTGTTGAACCTGTACACCTCTCTCTGTTGAACCTTTTAACATTTTTTACGCACACGCGCTCTTCAGTGCTTTGCTGTTAAATATTTGGGGCAAATTGTAGATTTCTTAAAGATTTGGGGCTGTTGTGTTCTGTGTTAGCAAAAACAGAGCTAAAGAAGAGGTACTTTGTGCTTCAATACTACTTCAATCTCTTTCCACTGGACACACTGAGGTGCTGGGTGGCTTCAAAAAAGGAACAGTCCCCATTCCCCTTCCAGTTCAAAGTAAATTTATTGGTTTGGTTTCATCTCTGTCAACTATCAAAGGGAATCAGGAAAAGTTCTAAAACAAACTCACCCAGAGCACCAATTTGACTGAAGCTTCTTTGAACATGCCTTAGATGGTACCGGGTAATGACCAGTAATACCTGGGCACTTAGCTGCCACCCATCTTCAGCAGAAAACATCAAGCAACAGAAGCACTGAGACTGGTAAGRTGTGAGTATAAAATATGTATTTTTGTCCATCACAGAGTTACACTACGGAGCTCTTTCCCAGAGGTGTTTGCTGAGGTCAAAACTATAAATAGGTTCATAAAAGATTAGACAGAGTCAYAGGGGGCAGGTGTGGTATTTGCTACTAAGGACGGCGGCCTGGGTCTAGCATCTGCTACAGGAGGAGTCTGTGCAGCTGATGGCTCCAAGGCTGGAAGAGCAAGCTGCTGCSCGGTGCTGAGCCCGGCACTGCTGGCCCCTGCTACAGGCAGCGGCTAGAGTGACTGTTGGCTGGCCCAAAAMAGTATTCTCCAAGTCGGAGAAAAGCCTGAATTCCCAAAGGAATGGCAGTTTCTCTTCAACGCCTGTTCTCAACTTGAAAGATACAGAGATCCTCAAATCCCTGGTGATACAAAATGGATTGATCCACTGGCCTCYGTACAACAGAAACCACACTGTAGACTTTGCAGGATTGTTTCAGCCTGTGCTTTTTTTGCTCCCATTTCTCAAGTGAGACCCGAGAACTATTTTAGCATTTCTTCTTAGCCTTCTGAGTTCCTTCCTGTCACATAAACACAGACCCAGYCTAATGCTTGCCTCACTCAGAAACTCTACCACTGTTCATAATTCTGTCTTTATCCTCCTTCCTTAAATCCAGCAGCAAAAACTATCAGTTGGAAGAGATGTTGCTTGTGAAGGGCCTGCACAGGAGTTCCTCTCATTCACTGACAAGATACCAGCTGAGAAAGAAGCTTAATTATAAACAGATGTTCAAAGGAAAATGTATGAAGAGAGATAAAGTGTGTGTGTGTGTGTGTGTGTGTGTAGGAATGTATTTTAGCAAGAGATTATGAACAACACTTGTGTCTGACACACATGAAATGACAGCAATGAATGTATGAGCTAGCTGGAAATAGCAAGCAAACCAAAGACATCCACAGATAAGTCCCTTTTCAGTTCTTGCCTAAAAGAACTGTATGCTGTAAGCTGTCGTCGTCCAAACTGTGCAAAGAGAAAAAGGAAACACTTGCTCTTTGCAAATGGAAACGGAAGAGGAACCTTGTTGAGACACAAATGTCTAGGCTGAGTTGGAAAAGACAAGTTAAAGCAATAAGCTGGAACAGGAAGGAACGAACAGGCCGCTGGCAGAGTGTGCTCTGCAAAATGGGAGAAGTGAAGTGTGAAACTGAAGACTGAAGAAAAAGTTAAAGGAACATGCTGGCCCTTACATGTGCTTTAAAGAGCCACATTGCCAGAGTTTCCATTTACGACTACGCTTTTGTTGTGTGCTTATTGTCTTTCCTCGTACTCAGTTACATCACTGAGACTATTTGAGGAGTAAGTACCTCTAATTATGAATACAGGTTGCATTAAATGGGCTTCTACCCAATTTTGTACCATTTTAACTCAAATTCATTGAAAAACTGATGATAGTTAAACTTACATAAATTTCTGTGCCAGTGATCTTCCACTGATTTAAGCTAAATCAATATAAATCCAGTTTCRATGGATTTGAGAGAACCCATGCAGTAATGGGCTGCATTTTCTCAAATTAAGGGGCAGAAATACTCCTACTGAAACATTAAATTTTATACTCTTTTCAWATGCAGCTGTTGAGATTTCACAATTTTCCTGTTCTGCATTTTACAAAACGTTAGAGGGATTGGAACCAAGCCTGGTCTCTTATCCATACACTGCTGTGCTGTCTTCCTTCCCCTTGTGTTGGCTGTGGAAACTCGCTGCTGGGCACTTCTTGGCGCCTGCCCCTGTTTCTCTCTCTCGGGCTTCCAGATACTCCCTGGCTTTTCAACGCCGTCTTCTAGCTCTGCTACCACGCTGAGCAGGTCCTGCACCTGCTCGCACCTCACACAGTTGCTCCCCACACCGTCCATAGGAAGTGTGGGGCTGTGGCACCCCTTGCAGCCCGACCCCGGGACGGCTGCGTGCCGGAGCAGCGGCTCAGCCTGGGTGCCTGTCTCCTTCCGAGCGAGTGCGAACGCGGCCCWCCCGTGAGTGACTGCTCTCTCATCACTGACCCAGAGTGAGCAATGCGTGACTGCYCACAGCACTGCAGGTGTGGCCTCACCAGCACTGAGAATAGGGGAACGATCACTTCACCAGTCCTGTTGGCTGCACTGTTCCTGACACAAGCCAGGATGCCCTCGGCCCTGTTGGCCTCCTGGACCCACTGCTGCCTCATGTGAAGATCCCTAGATCCTGTTCTGCCACATAGTTCGCCAGCCACTCCGCCCCAAAGGACAAGAAACAACTGTTTCTTTCCTAATTTGAGTTTGTCTGGCCTTCACTTCCAACCCTCAGTTCTTGCTGCATCTTCTGTCCACCTAAGTACTCCTTRACTTCTAAGGAAGTCCAACTGAAGTTAACAAGCATTGCACAGACCTGCATTATCTGAAATGTGAGTGACACTCAAGGTTAGCCAAAGAAAAAGACCATTGCTAAACCAAAGTGAAGCTGCCCTGACTTAGGAAACTGAGTAGTGCCAAGTCGGTTGAGAACTCTGCCGGCATGGGTCATTTAATCACTCTCTGCTTGAGTTCTCATCTACAGTAGCTCTTTGATCCGCATGAAGCATGAAGCACTATGATGTCATTGAAGCTAATATAATATAACACTGTGAGGGCAAACACAGTTAAGGTCTTGAATTGACACTGTAATGGTAAAAGCAGAGGAGAGAAAAGCACTGTTCCTCCTAGGCTGTCATTGATAAATGACGCAGACCGCTTCTTCCAGCTTCTCACCTCTGTGGTAGCTGCAGCAGCACTCTGGTCCAAGAACTGYTCTAATTTAACATGGGAGGTGTCAAGCCACTCTCAATTTCAATGAAAGATCTCATGAAAAATGAATTTGACAGTTTTTCCAAGGCCCCTAGCCATGCCTCCAGCCTGCTAGCAGTAATACTTACATGCTTTGTGGAATTTGTGTTTCACATCCAGAAGAGTAGATGTTGGAGGAACCTAAAAAGGAAAACAAAATGCAAGCATATTAATTTGTGTTTCACATCAAGAAGAATAGATGATGGAGGTACCTAAAAAAGAAAACAAAATGCAAGCGTATTATTTTTTATCCGTCTTTATTCTCCTATCTCTTTTCCCCTCCTTCTTTTTTAGGAAGAGATGGTTCACCTTGTCTCCGGGTTTTTTAGGTCATGATGATGCAAACAGTACTTTTGTTTATTTTTTATTTTTAAGGATTGCTCACATTTRATTCCCATACTACCTGCACCAGCCCTGCTTGGCCAATGGAAGGGTAAATCCTTACAGGCAAAAGGGAAACCTGCTGTCCCTGCAGATCCAGTCACTACCTTCAAGATCATGTCAAAGGGACAACTTGAAGGGTGAGCTTGAAGTCAAGTTCAAGCATACTAGGACCTGAGATATGAAGGGCTTTTCCTAAAGGGTGAGTAGCAAAGGGTTCTGTCCTCTCTGCTTGAAATCAGCTTGCCTTTGCATCCTGTCATTCATGTGCAGTGAAGTAATTCAGGTGTTACAGTGCTGGATGGCAGTCCTGAAGCCTGAAAATTCTGTTTTATTATGTATATTGATTTCTTAATACACTTTGTACAAAGTGTCTGAGAATCACAGTAAGAATCGCTAGAATGAATGTACTTGGAATTTATAATGAAGATGAGTGGAATGCTTACGGAAAYAGTATCTCAAGTTTGATATCTAGGTGACAGAGGCAAGGGTCTTGTCTTAATGAGACTGTCCCCTTACAGATGGCACTGATTAAGTAGTCCCTATCTGGTTCATTTAAGCACAAAAACTGAGCAGAAGTTGAGTCTTAACTGSGGGAAACTGCTTTGGCTGTAGAGAGAGATCTCACTAGAAGAGCCAACGGCAAATTGCCTTCTCTGGAGCCATTAAGCACCTGTATGGCACAGGCTAACACCAGCATGAAGCGGTTAGATAAAACAGAACCTTGACACAGCCATGATATRCCATTTTTCCCAGATGGGCACTCATCACTGGTCATTCTGAGTTCACTCCCATCTCCGACTCAACATGGTTTTCTCAATCTAAGCAAAGGCTGAAAGATTTTTTCCACGTTGATTCTTCGGAAGTCACACAGGAACCTAACCCTTAGCCTCTGCAGAAACTGCTTTATGAGTTTTGCTGGGCAACCCTGTTTCATTGCACCGCATAGGATTTATTTATTCATGCATAAATTAACCTACTGCTTCTTCCTTCTTGACATTAATCTTCAGCCCTTAGTCCCACTTCTTCAAACCGTGCGCAGTGATATGAGGGARTTGTTACAGTAACCACACAAAACAGCGAGAGGAACGTTAGGCCAATCTGCTAACAGAGGTCAGTGAGCACCTTAAGAAAGGCTGTTTTCATGTACAGCTTGTGAGTCCGGATAAATACTGATTACAAGAATTATATTTGCTGACTTAAAAGCTGTAAGTCAATATTGGGGAAAAAAAGAGTTTTGCTTATATGTAAGTTGACAACCAAGACAAATATGCAATTTATGTGTCACTAGTGCTGGGAGTAAGTCATTTTCTTTCCAGTAATAATATAACCAGACTGATAACTCCATACAGATTTTAATAATGTAAAGTTTTATGATGATAGCTGACCTCAATGCTGCCTAGTGAATGGCTAGTATGTAAAGTTCACTTTTTTATGCTCAATTTCATTTCCTTAATGAACTTGGCATCAGCAAAGTCCAAATTGTTGCCAATCTGGTGGAACTGTGCTGGGCCAAGAGACGGACATTGCCCGCRGTGTCACTGCTCACCGACACAGCCACAGCAGACAAACAAGAAGCAGGGTTCTCTTCCTACCTTAGTACAAAAACAAAAGGAAAGTATTTCTTCTGCACTCGCCACAACTAAGTCATTCCACAGCTTCTGCWAGAACATTATGTCTTCACATAGCCTGCACATGCTTTATTTTTTAAGTTGTACAGCTGCTGTGGACTTGAACTGAGGATAGAGGACTTTTTATTTATTTTTTTTACATTTTAGAAACCTCTAAAATACCTTAAATTGCTTTCTCATATGTAATAATTTCACTCCTGCAAGCTCCAGAGCCCAGAATCTATCAGAGATAGACGCAAGTGATAACAAACAGCACGTAAGATTGCAGATGAAAATACGGTACGTCCTGATGTGAGGGAGGATCTTCCATCTTTCTAAATACAGTAAACTCTATTCCCATGGTGTCAGCCTTCCTGTGGGAGATCAGTATCTTGCAGCGACAGGCTCTGGTAAATAGTCAGGGCTGCCTAGGTGCTCTGGGAAGTGGCTCATCTGAATAAGCTGGGGAAACAGCAAGACCTGTAACCTGCCTACACTTCAAGGTAGGACACGTRTGAAACAGAGCTCAGATTTTCCAATTACTGCACCGGTTAAGTATGCACTGAATTCAGGATAGCGCTGCTTTCAAGCAGTGCCAAATTTCTAGTTCAGCCCTGCCTAGCAACCCAGACTGATACTTCTAGTACTTCTGCCCTTCATGCCTGCCATGGGATTCACGTCATCTATCTTCAGTCCCCAGAAGATTTGACTTGGTCTCTATTTTAGGTCTTAAGACAAGACATTTACCTTCAAAATCATTAATGTCTCTTTGATGCTTAAAAGTTAAGATGTRTCTGTCAGGACCTGTGCTTATAGAGACCCACTGTAACTGAGGTATCCACTGTGAGCCACTGCACACTTCTCAACCCAAAAGGAAGATAGCTTGAGCTGGGGGGAACTGTCYTCCCTCCATAGGTCCACTGGACACGCAGAGCTCATTGGCGAGGGTACTGATATGCATGAGTACCTCCAAAGTTTCTGCAACTGGCTTAAGTCGTGCTAGCTCGGGTCATGACAGCAAGCAGAGAACAGGCTTGGTTGGTTAACTGAAGCTCTGCGTGGCGTTACACGGTAAGGGTTGTGCACGCCCAGGGAAGCACAGCGCACAACCAGCCAGCAGGGTGGGAAGACATGTGCGTTATGGGTGGCCAGTGACCTCACTTGAAAACATCTTGCCAGACTTGAGGTGGAAAAATAATGCATATACATTCCTTGTCAGTGCGAGCTGTGCAACAGAGGAACCGTGGTGTCCCTTCCCTGGCAGGCTACAGCCACAAAAGCAGTGAAATACATTGTTTTTATGATCTCAGTAATTGTGTCTTTTTTTTAAAGACATCATAAACAATGAGTAGAGTTATAGATTCTAATATTGATCAACTTCAAGTTATGTTGCTGAGACAGCAGCTTCCTATTAAGAGTGTCCTCTTCATACTCCGCTAACGATCTTTTGTTCTCTTCAATGTACATCAACGCAAGCTAAAGAAATGTGATGACTGGAACAACATCTGCTCTTATCATCATGCCAACCAAACAGAACACCCTGAAAAACTCCACTATTACTTTCCTTTCTTTTATTCTTTTWAATTTCTGAAAGTGTTCTAACCGTCCTTGGCCTCTCAACCAGCATGATTCAGAAATGCAAAGGCAACGGAGAGCAAAAGGCCATCCTCGGTTTRTCGAGAACAAGATAAGCTGTGCCTTAGAAGCACCTTTATTTGGCATGTCTTCCATGCCTGACAGTCAAGCTGGATTTCCCCTCAGCTCCTTATCTTGTAGTCTAACAGCAGATTTTATATATAGTTAAGTTTCTAGCAGGTTGCTATCATAAGTTCAACAATATTTTTCATTTCATGAAAAAATAGCAAAAATGGCTGATTTTATAGGTATATACTGCATTTGTTAGACTTTTCATTCAGAAAATGATGATCCTAAAACCTCTAATTATACTTTTTTTTTCCCACTGTATTATACTAGCGAAACCATTTAAGGCAACATTTCACTTTTCAGGAATTCAAGAATAAGAGGCCCCTCTGTGTCATTAATTCCAGTTCTATCTTTCCATCCTATGCAGCAATGCACAAACCAACTCAAGATTTAAAATACTGTATTAGCAGCTTAGGCTATGACTGAAGGGAATATTAAGGGAACTGGATACCAGCTTTTGTGAGTACAAGCTAATCAGATACCTCTTTCACATTTGTAAGTGAAGGAATTGCAATAAATCTGATGATCTGTATTTAACTGCCTCRCACAATTTTTGCATTCCAAAATTATTTTAACGTTTAGAGGTCCGAAGAATAGCAATAAGAATTTGAATAATAGATTTTTTTTCAAATAAGTGGTTTTCATTTAACGTATCTCCTTGAATGTGTTTTCCCGTCATTTAACTTCTTGAAAAGTCACTATTTCCACATTGCTGAATCACCCACTTAACAACAGGCAGTCATTTTCCATGATTACAGCAATTCAGAAATTGTGCCACTCCAACTGTTCATTAACCACGGAGAGTCACATCTTGCCCAAGGTATATTTATTCAAAGGATATATTAAAATATATATATATATTCATCAGGTTTTTGTAGTGGAGGATGTAATACCAAAATAGATAACCAGATAATGAGAAAGCCAGATAATGTTCCAATTCAGCCTTCCACAAATCTTTCCTTGGTACTGTTTTCCCATTCCCATCCTTGCATAGGGAAATATGTTGCACCATTAGGAATCAGCAGCAATTCACAGAAAGTTCATCAGGAAAACTTCCATTCTAACTGACTGGCATTTATTGTGAATTTGGCATCTGAATCTGATTATTCATTTTTATTGTGAATTTTGAAAGACAATATTAAAAATGGGTGTTCTGAAAACCTCCCTCATTGTGTCCTAAAATGGTCTTTTGTCAGCTTGATGAACCAGAATCATGGYCATGTCCAAACATATAAAAAGATGACCCTGACCCTACCTTGGAAATGACATGTAAGTAGCTACATATAGACRAGTATTTCAAGAACTACAAGACAGTTTTACACGAGGCTGAATATTTTCATCAGTGGACTGCAGCAAAACTGGTACACTGAACTTCTAATCTCAAATTAGTCTTTGCAGGAGCGGGGGAGATTCAGAATTAGGTTTTAGCTGAAGTCTGTTCCAAAA